GCCTGGGAAATCCCATGGACAGAGGAGGCTGGTGGGCTACAGTTCATGGGGTCACAAAGAGTTGGACACAACTGAGGACTTAACACTTTCATAATTCTACTACTCTGAGATAGTTGCTAACTTTTTTTGGCCAAGTCCTGTGGCATGAGAGATCTTAGTTCCCTGACCAGGGATTGAAGTCCCTTGAACATTTTAATGTATTTCTTTCCATCATTTTATTTATTTTTATATACACACTTGATATTGTGCTGTATAAATAACTGCCTTCTGCTTTCTTTTTTTTTTTTTTTTTTTGCTTTCTTTGTTCAGTATTTTTTCACGAGCATTTTCCTGTGTCATTAAAAAATTGTTTACTGAGTTTTGCCTATATGCTATTCTATTACATATGTGTTTTATTGCTTTTCCATTGTTGAACATTTGGTGGTTCTCTATTTTTATTAATAACATTAAGAGTTGTTTTTAATAACTCTTTAATAACTTATTATTTTATACATAACATTAAATAATATCTTTTTGTTCAAAGATCCTGTATTATTATCTGATTATTTTATTTTTTTCAGCATATATTTATTGAGCACAGATGTACAGAAATAGAATTATAGAATAAAATAATATGAATATCTTCAAGACCTTTGTTATGTATTGCCAATTTTTAGAAAAGATTTTTACCAGTTTATGAATTTACAAGTATGAGAAGTACCCTTATCACCAATGTATGAGTTATTTTAAATCTGCTAATTTGTGAGAGAAATTACATCTTACTTTAATACTTATTTTTTAATATTTTTATATATTTGGAAACATTTAAATCTAGTTATCTGTGAAGAATATTAATCTTTTGTTCTATTTGTAGCAATTATTTTGCCTTATTTTGTGGAGTTGTTTGCAGCTAGTAGTCAAATCTTTTGTTCTCCTTTGTGATTTTTTTATTTCTTAGAAGCTTATGACATGAGGCAGGTGTTTCTAGGAAAACTATCTAAGAGGGAAGGGAGAGGGGATTCCCCTGGTAGTCCAGTGGCTAAAGACTCTGTGCTCTCAATGCAGGGGCCCTGGGTTCGATCCCTGGTCAGGAAACTAGACCCCACATGCCACAACTAAGGCCCAGCGCAGCCAAATAAATAAATAAATATGAACTTTTTTTAAAAAAAAAAGAAGAGGAGAAGGAAATGGCAACCCACTCCAGTATTCTTGCCTGGAAAAATCCACGGACAGAGGAGTCTGGCGGGCTGAAGTCCATGGGATTACATGACTGAGCATGTGTGCACGAGGGTGGAGGGAGATGTGTTGGTAGCAATAAACTGGTAGAACTAAAAAAAAAAAGAAGAAGAAGAAAAGGAGAAAGTGAGATTGCCAAGCCCAGGGCAGTGGATCCAGCTGCTGGTCTTCAGCCCCAAGGGATGTTCACAATGGTTCACAGTGGCATTTCCCACTTCTTGGCATAGCTTTGAGCTATGTTTAGTTTGACTAGGAATCAAGAAGGATAATTTTGTCCTCCATCATGATGCTAAGCCAACTGCATTATGAGAATTGACCTGATTGCTGAGCACCTACAGAGGCAGGTGGGACCTGGCAGGAATACTTCAGGTCCTCTCCTCAAATCCTGTCTGATCTGCTTAAAGGGTTCTGCCTAAAGAGGCTGTGTGCCAAGGCTTGTTTGCTTGCCTCTTGCAGTGACAGTTCTGTTTGGCCTATAATGTAAACACCATGGCTCTGAAATCCCCCAGCTGTCCAGGCTTTGTCATTTCTTCAAAGGAAACTGACTTGTTTTCCACCAGAGTGGGGCCAAGGAACGTTTGCTACCCACACTGGCTTGGAGTATTAAAAGGGGAGAAAAAAGCAAAGAATAAGTGTTGTTTCATTCTTTGTATTCATATGGAAATTTTTAATCTTCATCAAAGGATCAGAAGAAAAATCACATTGAAATTCAATACAAGAACTTCCAGCTTACACAGAATTTTTCAAAGGTGTTTGACTTGATCCTCTAAAAATGACAAAAACCATGAACTGTGTAGCTCCAGGGTTTGTAATTTTGCTTACCCTCCTCAGCCTCTGCCTCTGTCTTGCCTTCCTAACTACACTCCATCTGTGTGGTCCTGTGTTAGCCTGCAGAACTTCTTTGAGTGGGGCCTGGGAGAGGGGATGGGAAGTATGAAGCAGCAGTCAGATTTACTGGGCTCTCATACGTTAACCCCTCTCTCAGGCCATGTTATCTTATCTTTCAGAGTCTTGAAACTGGTCTCTTTTCATTCTCCTATTCCAAGCCTATTTTCACTGCTACCAGAATCACCGCATTCAGAAATAGAACTCATCATGTCCCTTTCCTGCTTACAAACTCCCTCTGGCTGTCTCAGTCCACACTTCTCGCCTGCACAGAAGGCTCTCATGGTCTGGCTCCATTGCCTCCTTCAGCAGTTTCATTTCCTTCTACTCTTTTCCCTAAATCCACACTAAGCTTACTGTCCACTTGATTATGAGTTTTTTGAAGTCAGAAACAGTGTATTTCCAAGATCTAGCAAAGTCACTGGCATATTACTAGTCTTGTTAAATTCTAAGGTAATTAGTGATTTAAAATTCTAAAAGGTCTACAGTGTGAGAGAGAAAATTAAAAATCATATGGTAGTTTTGCAGTTCCTTTGCTAAGTAAATTAGAAGCATACTCACTATACTAAGGATCAGGTCCTTCTTCCCCATTACAGATTCCTGGTCATTTAAACCAAACATCCTGGTTCAGCACCCATGGGGAAGCACTATGCTTCCTGGGACCCAGAGGGGCCAAATGGAAGAGTTCCAAACCTCTTAGCCAGGGTTGCTTACTGCTTGTATCTGAGTGATACAAAATAGTATAGGAAATTTCTTGCCTTCTGAAAGTTTTTCTACATATTGATCTTTGGTCTGATTTTCTTTCTGTAAGTGCTGTCCTAGACTGATCTGATTTCATGAAAGTAAATTGAAGTTAATTTTGTTGTTGAAATTCTTTGGTAGCCTTGGTAAATGAGTACAACTGTTATTAATATGAGGGAGCCCACTCTTCAGTAGAAGGGAGGCTGAAATCTATGTGGGAAATACTGAATGGATTAGGATGGATTAGTCATTAAAATGGAACTTAAATTTGTAGAGTCTGGAATCAAACCAAGAGAGTAGTAGGATCTGTAAGAGTAGAATCTAGGAGAAAATAAAAGACAAGAAACATAAAAAATGGCTTAAATTATAAAATTTGATAATTTGCATAAAGAATAGAAGGATCACCCATAATTCCACTCCTGTAAGAGAGGATAGAGTAGAAATTGTATAAATGGTTTTTTAATAGTGTTATTCAACCTGTTAGTATCAGAAAAATTTTTAATGTTTATTTATTCACTGCACTGGGTCTTTGTTGCTACACACAGGATTTCTCTAGTTGTGGCAAGTAGGGGCTACTGTCTAGTTGCAGTGCATGGGCTTCTCATTGCAGTAGCTTCTCTTGTTGTGGAGCACAGGCCCTAGAGCATGCGGGCTTCAGCAGTTCTGGCACGTAGTCTCAGTAGTTGCAGCACATGGACTCAGTAGTTGTGGTGCACAGGCTTAGTTGCTCTGTGGCATGTGGAATCCTCCTGGACCAGGGATTGAACTTGTGTCCCTGTATTGACAGGCGGATTCTTAACCACTGGACCACCAGGGAAGTCCTAGTATCAGATAAATTTTTAATCCATTACTGTAACAGAGCAAAAGAGGAGAAAATATGATAAGCTCCATGCATGCAAAAAGAGAAAATTCAATACCCATTCATTGATGAAAGCTTTTAGCAAAGTTAGGAATAAGAGAGATCTTTCTTAACTGGATAAAGGGTATCTACAAAACCAGTAACATGTGCCAAGTATTAGCTATAAAGTACAAAGCCCAATGTCTACACATAGAGGACAATCAATAAATGGTGGCTTTGGTGATAAAACCTGTAACAATCATCAGTCTTAATGATAAAAAAGAAAAATTCCCTTTAAAATCAAGAATAAGTAAGGATGAACTGCTGTTAGTGCTTCTGTTCAGCATTAGTGTATTGAAAGTCTTAGACAATATGATAAGATAAGAAAAATACAAATTAGGAAGAAGGAAAATTATTGTTTACATAGTTGGTATGATTGTCAGAATCTACAGATAAATTATTAATATTAAGATTGTTTATCAAGGCAGTTGGCCCCAAGATTGAAATATAGTAAAATGAGATTCTGTTAACCAAGAAGAAGAAAATAATTGTTGAAAAGACACCATCTATAATACTGCTGCTGCTAAGTTGTTTCAGTCGTGTCCGACTCTGTGCGACCCCATAGACGGCAGCCCACCAGGCTCCCCGTCACTGGGATTCTCCAGGCAAGAACACTGAAGTGGGTTGCCATTTCCTTCTTCAATTCATGAAAGTGAAAAGTGAAAGTGAAGTCACTCAGTCGTGTCCAACTCTTAGCAACCCCATTGACCACAGCCTACCAGGCTCCTCCGTCCATGGGATTTTCCAGGCAAGAGTACTGGAGTGGGGTGCCATTGACTTCTCCATCTATAATACTAACCGCCCAAAATTAAAATACTCTGATTAATCTAATGGAAAATACAAGGCCTTTGTAGAAAAAATTTTAATATTTTGAAACAACTTTTTTTTCAAAAGGCCAGAGCTTTCTGCCTTCTCATGAGTTATTGTCAGTTAATAGTCAAGACACCATGTTAAGACATGCACACCCATACAAACATTCAGGCACACACTTTGTAAACAGGAATTGTAAGAGACTGTTTTCTGCATAGATCAGGGGAAGGACATCTCAGTTTCAACACACTGCTTGCCCAGCTCCAGCCTGAACTGAGAACTTAGATCTTCTGCTTCCCCAAAACTGCCAAGCCCTTGCCATTTCTGATCTCTGTCGGTCCCAAAGTGGCATGACAGGAAGGAATTTGGCTTTTGCTTGGATGCACAGTTTTTTATTCTAATTGAATGGAGACTATCAGATTTCTGATATTTGGCTACTCTTTCTTCCTAGGTCAATCACTTCCATCCGGAGTGAACTGATCCCATACCTAGTAAGAAAACAGTTCTCCTCAGCTTCATCACAACAAGGACAAGAAGAAAAAGAGGAGGATCTAAAGAAAAAGGAGCTGAAATCCTTAGGTCAGTGCTTGAGTTGGTGCAGTAAGTTACGGGTAGGGACACTTGTGGAAGGAGTGGCTGGACAACTTAGCCCAGCCCAAGATGCCTGTCTCAAGGCCTCAGGTTCTCATCCAGCCAGCAGGCAGGCCAGGTTAGCTTACGCCACTCCCTGAGCTCTGGGCAGGCTTACTCAAGCAGATTCTCATCCCTGTGCTCTTCAGGGACAGGCTAACCATGCCTCTGGTCATGTTCTCTGGTTAACAGGCCTGATTTGGCGATGTTCATTTCTAGACCTTTTTGACTTTGCACTCTACCCACCATTTCTCAGTTCTGTTCTCTAGGCTCTGGAAAGCCACACACTCCTGACTAAACTCAGCCTCTCCTATCAAGGGAAGAAAGGTGAAGGGCTGTATAATGACAGTCCAACCAGAGCCAACAGACTTTCTCCTTTCAAGGATGTAGGGATGAGGTCAGTCTTTGCTCTCAACCCTTGCCTAGTCCCTGGCCCAGTCCTGGACTCATAGTAGATGTTCCAAAAAATGTATTTATCAAAGGAATAAATTGAGACAGTATAGCATGATGGTTAAGATATCAGGGCTTAGCATCTCAGACCTGGGTTTGAAATCTGACTCTGCCTTTTATTAGCTCTGTGACCTAAGGCAGATTTTTCAGTCTTTTGAGCCCCAGTTTTCTTTATCATAAAATAAAAGACTCCAAATGACTGTTGTAGGAGTTGAAAAATTGGGGCCCAGGTCCTGTGCTGTTTCTCTGACAGCACAACTACCAGATGTGCTAATAGAGGCTAGCAGCACAAAGCCAGTAGGGCTAGGCACTAAAGCCTGGACAGTCACTTGTGTTTCTCCATGGTGTACAAGAGTCTATTAATCTTCCCCAGTAGTGCTTGGTCGTCAGTCAAACTTTCTTATAGGACCTCTTTTTAAAACATTCTTGTGTCATAATATTTCAAATATACATGAAAGCACATTGCCTCTTTTAATCTTTGACTTAGTCTTTCAGGTTTTAGTGGGATTTCCCCAGGGTCCATGCTGCATGGTTGAGTTGCAGGGGAAGAGATTTGAGCTGTACCCTCTTTAAAAACTTGACTGAGTCTATATCCTTTCTGTTATCTATCTCATGTACTTGCTTGTTTTTGATTCTGAAGATATTTACAGTTTTATAAAAGAAGCCAATACACTGACCCTTGCTCCCTATGATGCCTGCTGGAACGCCTGTCAAGGAGACAGCTGGGAGGGTTTGTCCAGATCACAGGTGCGCTGCTATGTCCACATCATGAAAGAGGGGCTCTGCTCTCGAGTGAGCACACTAGCACTCTACATGGAAGCCAACAGACAGGTGAGAGGATGAGTTCAGAAGAGAAATCATGGGGGTTCATCTCCCAGGAACAGACTGGAGCCTTTTGTCTTATTTCTTCATTAGGTGCACAGTAACTTGTACAGAATCCCTCATTCCTAAGGTTGAGCAAGACCTGGTATGTCAGGAGACATCATAGGGGTACTCAAGTACAGCAAAAGGGGAAGTGAGGGGCATGGTGCAGAGGCAGAGCCTCTGTGGCTCCAAAGAAAGGCCAAGATCTCCAGGAAGGCTTAACTTCTGGCCTCTGGGTTCAACAGATTTTCTGCTATTCTGCTCAGCATGGGGATATCCACAACACTTCATAAACAACCAGATGAATACTGTGTAACCGTTACTGTGATGAAGTAAACAGGCACACAGGGGAGGCTTTCCTTAGAAGGTGAAGGAACAGAGTATAGAGTACCCAGATGGCAAAGCATCAAGGAAGGAATGCCTATGTGAGAGAAGTCTGGAGAATAGCATTAGAGCATGCAGAGTCTCACTAACCCATCCTTTTAACCCTGAGGTTTGTGAAGTGTGGAGAAAGAGTAGCTTCTACTAAAGGGGAAGCAGTGCTCTTAAGGCCCGCCAGGTTTTATTTAAGGCGAGGGTGAAGGGGGGGACAATGAGGAGGCAGCTTGTTTGCAAGAGCTCTATTGTGTAGCAGGGACAGGAGGAGGGGAAAACTGGAATTGGAATTGAATCCCTGAAGGAAACCTGACTCAAGAATCTTTAGGACCCACATCATGTGGTAGTAAACAGTCTCAGACCGAGACCTCAAGCTAGCCTCAAACTGGATTGGTTATAGTCAAGGGAATCCAAGCTACAGGGCTTATGAGAAGTCCCAACTAGTCCCATGTTTACCCAGGGCAGTCCTGGGTAAAGTTGCCCCTATGTAGCATTAGAGGTATATAGAAGGCTTCCTTAATTTGACTTTTAGTTCTCCTTATTCAGTTCTATGATTAGAGTCTGTCTGGCTGGTCTGAAAGCAAGATCATGGATAGCCTGAGGCCAAAGAAGTATGCTCTGGCGTGTCAGCAGGGGCTGTGCGTCAGACAGACCTGAATGGCATTGTCTGAAGTATAACAGAGATCCCAGGGAGATCTCTGTCCCAGGGCAGAGGGATTAGCCTTCACATCACCTGTATAGCCAGTCTGGCCAGGCCTCCCTCAGTTAGAGTGTCTACCACACACAGTGCTCTGACCAGCATTCTGTCCACACTGGAGAATCACAGATATACTAACTCTGCCTTAATGGGTCCAGAACTAAAACACTCCACACCCATACCGTTTTCAGTTTTCTCATACTGGAAACAGAATAGTGTGAATCTCCCCTTCGACATTTTATTTTGGTTGGTAAAGAACATGGATGCCTCCTTAGGGTGTGTCCTGATTGTGGAGTTGGCTAACATTACTCCATCCTCACCTCCTGCGTTGTCACTGTGGTCCAGAGGTGAACAAGAACCTAGGATGACTGTGGTCAGGCCTCAGGGTTCCCCTTGCTCTCCTTAGACGTCCTCTCCCAAATGCTGCCTGGTTATCTCAAAGGCTTGTCTCATAGCCTCCTGGTTGAGGGACATAGCAGTACTTCAGGGAGGAGGCTCTCAGCTAGGGAACTGAGGATGAGACTGTATAGAAAGTGTTGCATAAATGATCCTTGTCTTAGGGGAAATACATCAGCCTGCCTTATCCAGACAGAAGGCAGTGGCTAAAAATTCCCCACATCTCTTAACTGAACACAGGGTTCTAGTTAACATACTTTCAGGTGTTTTCTGGCCTTACTTTAGTGACCAAACCTCTTTCCTCAAGGTGTCCAAATTGCTACCTGTTATCTGTCCAGAAGAATCACTGGTTCACTCATCAGCCCAGATTGTCAGCAAACACATGGTAAGTGCTGGCTTGGGCAGGGCAGGTATGGGACATTGTCTGGGTACACTGAGGCTTGTCCTTGAAAAGCTGGTTTTGGGGTGTCAAGCCCTGGACATCATTGGCCTCAGGGAAGTCCCAAACTGGGTTCTGGTTATAAAATCTTACCTTCCAGTCCAGGCTCTCAAGCAGACTGCCTGGACAGGTGCTGAGCCCAGCCACACAAACCCTATAAGGAAGGTTCATTGTAGCCTTTGGACTCAGACACGGGATCTTTCCATCTGTGTCCCTCTTCCTACCCTGACTTGAGCACTGCTTTCAGGAGAGCACCTCAGTATACACAAGTGCATGAGTGTGTAAGTCTGAGTTGGTCTCAGAGATATTATGGAACCTTGCGGCCTTGAGAAGTACTGGTGACGATCCCTCTTGCTGAAGTGTCTCTAGGAAAAGATCTCACTAGACCGCAGCTCAAGGAATCTAGAGGGTTGGTTTGCAGTTGGTTGAGATGAGGGAACAAGGTATTATATTTTATATTTTTATTTGCCTTTTACAGGTTGGAGCTGACAGCCTCATTGGGCCAGATACACAGGTTGGAGAGAAGTCATCCATTAAGCACTCGGTCATTGGTTCTTCCTGTGTCATAAGAGAGAGAGTGACTGTCACCAATTGCCTTCTCATGAACTCAGTTACCGTGGAGGAAGGGTATGTCTCCCCTTGTACCCACTTGAGACAAGGCCCCTGGTGTCTCTGGGAGGCTTTGGAGGCCACCCTAGCCTAGGAAGGTGATCAGCTTTGGGAGGGGAAGAAAGGGGAAAGGAAGAAATAGTTCCTAGGCCTTGGTTTTGATGCCATAATAACATAGTCTCAGAAAGCATTTCTAGCAGTCTTCTCATGACAATTGGAGTCCTGAGATAAGCTGCCTTCTCTTGTTTTGGTATCCTGCTTGATGGGATGACCACAGTAGTGAGCCCGTAGCAGGGCTGGAATGATACTACACCAATGTCTAAGAGTCACCTGGCCCCATCTCAGTGTCCCACAGAAAGCGGAGGCCTACAAGGAATGGACATATAAGACACGTTCCATTTTCAAAGGAAAGCTCTGTTACTAGTTATAGAGAATCTTTTCCCATTTTAAGATGCTTTGGAATGCCCTAAAATCTTGGTTTATGAACAACCTGAACTTGGAGTAAGACTTAAACGATGCTTAATAAAATTCTTCCTCTTATGGACCTCAGGTTTTTTCCTTGTATAAAATGCAGAGTTAGTGGTGGAAGAGAGGAAGGGTATTACCAATGGTTTCCAGACTTTTTAGAAAGGAAATGTTTTCTTAAGATAAATCTTAAGCAGAAACTCATTTAAAACTGGTAAAGGCACTGTTGTTTGGAATACATTGGGGAAGGGGCACTTATCCTTCCTATGGAATGTGAAAACTGATCTATAAAACAAATTTTAAAAACTACTCTTTGCAACCCTATGGGTTGTAGCCTGCTAGGCTTCTCTGTCCGTGGGATTTTCCAGGCAAGAATACTGGAGTAGGTTGCCATTTCCTTCTCCAGGGGATCTTCCCGATTGAGGGATCAAACTCTGGTCTCCTGCATTACAGGCAGATTCTTTACCATCTGAGCTACCAGGGAAGCCCCAAATCTTGACCACACCTCCATGACATGTGGGATCTTAGTTTCCCGACCAGAGATCAAACCTTCACTCCCTGTATCGGAAGGCAGAATCTTAACCACTGGACTGCCGCGGAGTTGCAGCTAAAACCACTAGGTGAGAGAATTCCCTGGCAGTCCAGTGGTTAGGACTCTGCATTTTCACTGCCAGGGTCAGGGTTCAGTCTCTGGTCAGGGAACTAAGATCCTGCAAGCCACTCAGCTCGGCCAAAAAAAGCCAGTAGGCTAGGTCAGCCTGAGATTGATTCTAGCTCTGACATCTGTTGATTTCTATGTCCAGGAACTGATAGGAGGGAAGGATAGGGGAAGACTGTGTGCGTGTGCTGAGTCGCTTCAGTCATGTCCCAACTCTTTACGACGCTATGAACTGTAGCCCACCAGGCTCCTCTGTCCATGAGATTCTCCAGGCAGGAATACTGGAATGGGTTGCCATGCCCTTCTCCAACAGAAAGATTATAAAGTCCAGTAAAAGCTGAACTACCTCTCACAACTGTCTTTGGGATTAAACGAAACATTTTGGGGAGAGGTACCATATAGGGATAGAGCTAAAGGTTAAGCCTTTGCTCTTTAGAAAAAGTGGCTGATGACAATTTTATAAAGTAATTAGCCTACAATTAAAATTAATTAATTAAGAAAAAAAAAGAGTGGCTGATAGAAGACAATAGAGACAAGGTGAAAAGGGAAAGAACTATAATATGTCCTCTCCCAAGCCTACATCTTGCTGATTCCCAGAACTCTGGTGAAGAGGCCTAAGTCTTCTTTTGGGAGTTTGGAAGAATCTTTTCTAGAGAATCTGACCAGCCCAAGAAGAACCTAAATTTATTTATATAAGAGTTTTCTAACAGCCCAGTCAAATCACCCTATAGTTAAAATTATGGATGACAAATTCCATTCATGTGCTGTTTTAAAATCCTTTCCTAAATATGAACAGATAATCAAAGATTACCAGAGATCTAAAGAAAGCCTCTATCATGAAAGATAGAGACCAAATCAAACAGAGAGAAAAAGCAACTTAAAAAGAGACAGAGATTCCTCAGAGAGAGAAAGATGCTTTCAGACAACCTATCATTTCAAAGAACAAAAAAGAAACTTAAGAAATTTAAAATACGGCAACAAAGAGGGAAGACCTCAGTAAAAAAAATTGGAAGATAAATTTGAAATTTCCTAAAGAGTAGAAGAAAAAGATTAAAAGATGGAGCATATAAAAGAAATGGTAGAAAGTAAGAGAGAAAGTCCAGGAGGTCTAATATCTGAATAGGAGTTCCATAAAAAGAGAGTTGATAAATCAGAGGAGGAAATTATTTAAGAAATAATATAAGAAAATGTCCTAAAACTGAAAAATATGAATCTACAGAATGAAAGAGCCTACTAAGGGGCCAGCCCAATGGTAAAAATAAGCCCACATCATTGTAAAACTTTAGAACATCAGATACGAAGCATGCTACCAACTTAACAAAGAGAAATAATAGGTCATAAACTACTAATCAGCAACCAGAATGGTTTTAGACTTACTACTAGTAGCAACAATGAAAACTCGAAGATAATAGAACAGTGCCTTAAAAAATCTGAAGGAAAATTAATTTCAACCTAGAATTCTGTGCTCAAGCTGAGTGTTAGTCAAGTGTGACAGTAGAATAGAGAAACTTTCAGATATAAAAAGGTATGGCCCACCAAAATGAAAAGTAAACCGAAAGGAGACTGATGAGAAACAAGAGAATCCCACTCAGAAAAAGGCAAAAAGAACTGTGGGATATGGGGACTTCCCTGGTGGTTCAGTGGTTAAGAATCCACCTTCCAATGCAGGGGACACGGATTCTGTCCTTGGTTGGGAAACTGAGATCCCATATGCCTCGGGGCAACTAAGACCCAACACAGCCAAAAATAAATAAATATTGAAAAGAATCCACGGGAAGATAGTGAAGGCACATCCAAGGATGACTGCTATGCATGAAGCATAAAGGGAACAATCAGTCCAGAGTGGAATCCAGGAAACACTTATTCAGGAAGATGAAACTGATAAATACATATAAACATCTTGAAAAATTTAGACAATTGGCTAAAAGTTAGGTTTGAATTAAAACAAAACAGATATTAACTCTGTTTTTTAAAAAAGTTGTACAAGAAAGGAAAAGGCATCAAAGTTTGCTATGGTGGCTCAGTTTGCCCTGAGTGGCTCAGTGGTAAAGAAATCTGCCTACCAATGCAGGTGACACAGGTTTGATCCCTGATCCAGGAAGATACCACATGCCACAAAACAACTAATCCCATGGGCCACAACTATTGAGTCTATGCTCTAGAGCCTGGGAGCCACAACTACTGAAGCCTGCACGCTTAATTTTTTAAAAATAAATAAATAAACACTGATCATTAACCAAAATTATGCTATAACTACATTGAAAGGATGAAAGGTAGGAAGGGAGAAAGGAAGCAGTGGCAGGAAGAAAAGAGAGCTAAACCTTCATCTTCCATGATGCAAAGTCTATTGACAATGCTTAAAACTGAAAAATTAAGTAGTGATTGTTGTTGTTTGGTCCCTAAGTTGTGTATGACTCTTTTGCAATCCCATGGGCTATATAGACCACCAGACTCCTCTGTCCGTGGAATTCTCCAGGCAAGAATACTGGAGTGGGTTGCCATTTCCTTCTCCAAGGGATTTTCCCAACCCAAGTACCGAACCTGCATCTCATGTAATATCAGGCAGGTTCTTTACCACTGAGCTACTAGGGAAGCCCCCAGTCTGTGAGTAGAGGTTAGGAAAAGAGGTCAGACCCAGAGACCTCTTCCTGAATCATGTGTTCTCTGACTTACTTTCCTGTCTCCATTTTTCTTTTTCTGCCAAATCCACCCTTCCAGCATTGTTTTTATGCATTAGAGCATGAACTTTGGGGTCAGACTGCCAGATTGAATACTGGGTCTATCACTTATTAGTCACTTAGGGGATTGGTTTTACCTCTTTGAGCCAAATTTTCTCACAATAAAATAGGATAAAAACCCAGTTGCCTCAGAGGTTTATTAGGAATGCTAAATGAGTTAGTAGACATAAAGCAGTGAAAACAGCGCTTGTCACAAAGAATGTTAGCTGCTATCACCATCATCTTCTTCATCATTACTTTATCTCACTTCACAGAGGTAGCATGTTCCCTGTGTTGTTGTCTGAAAGAATATCTGATCATATCCCTGTTCTATTCAAAAACTTTTAAAGAATCCATTCCATTATCTTTAGAATAAAGTTTCAATCCTTTGGAAGAATTTGAGAAAGATCAGTGTAAGTACCTCTTTGTACATTTGGTAAAATTCTGCAGTGAAACCATCTGGTCCTGGACTTTTGTCTGTTGGGAGTTTTTTTTATTACAAGTTCTATTTCATTTCTAGTGATTGCTCTGTTCAAGTTATCTATTGCTTCTTGATTCAGTTTTAGAATAAAGTTTCAACTTCAAAGTTTCTCAAGTTTTTCATGATCTAGCTCCAGCACTGGGTCCTGGAATGTTAGAATGAAATGGGGTCTTAGAAATCATCCAGCTCAATTTCTGTGTTTTTACAAGGAATAAATGGTGGTGGCAATCCAGATTCTTTTTCGTATTGTACCTGTGCTACTCCATGTCCTATTCCAGATTCTTGCATAAGACTGAAGATGTCACCATTCTCTTGAAAACCAGAACTACACTTGTATTTGTCCATTTGATCACTTGGTTTTAGAGTAGCTCATGAGGCTTTATAACTTCTATTCTCTGTCTCATCTTAACTAGACTTTCCAAGGAAGAGAGTGCTATAACTTTCTTGTTTGCTTTAATTGGTAACCTCTCCCTCTTTCCCTGTGGATGGGCAGACAAAGGAGCAGCTGTTTAAAGCCCACGGTTAGTGTCCTAAATTGATGTAAATAAACTTGGTAAGGAAACTAAGGCTTCCAAGGAACTCCAGTTTATTTATATGAGAGAAAATCATAGAAAGACCTAGCATAATATCCCAGAGTCATATTGGGCAGAGGTATAATCTCGGATAGCCCCATAAGGCATCTAGCTGGGGAAACAGT